ATAAGGATACACAGAAACATGTTATCAGTGCTAAATTGGAAGATTACAAAGTTATAGGGACCCCGAGTATAATTTACCCATGCTTACACATAGGCCCCTCCCCAAAACGACGTCATTTAGGGAGGGGTATAAATAGGTTGAATTCGACCTAAAGAGGCCTAAGGCCATCATTTTCTCTCTTTTCTTCTCTTTCTTAGAGAGACTATCTTAGAGAAACAAGCTCTCCCCTCTCTCTAGGATTCCCTCACCGAAGGGAAACTGTCTATCGGCTGGCAGCCGTATGCCATCACCGACCACCATTGTCGGCCACCATGGATGGTGGTTAAAAATTAAAAAATACACCTAATCAATCCTCTGCCTATCCTAAAGCTGAATCCGGTGACATTTTCCCCTAAAAAGCTCTCAATTGAAGTAGATCTAATGATTTACCTTCGGTGTTTCGACTTCTCCGGCGACGCTTGGAAGCTCTGACGACAATAAGGCTCTCCCGATCTCTTATCTATATTTTCCTAGTTTTTTTCGTGGATTGGTTGTTGGGTATTCCTTGTTACTTGTTGTCATCTTCTCTTGCAGGTTCGATGGGCTTTTATAGCTTTCTTTGTTACACAGTTCGGACCGATTAAAGAAGGGTACCTTCGTGAGTCACCAAGGCTATGACGGTGACTCACCAAGGGGCGGTGAGTTGTACGGTGAGTAAGCTGGATGCATTAAATGCACCCAAATCTCCTTCGATCTTTGCTGACGTCTTCAACGATAGTGTCATTGTGGCCATGGCTGAGTGGAATACATGGCAGCGATGATAGTGATCTCATCATCAACCTAAGGCGACGACCGGAATAGCCCTAGGGTTGTAATGAAATCCTAGGGTTTCTGCTGGAATTATCTGGGGCCGTTGGATCTTTACAGATCCAACGGTTGTGATCTGCGGTGGCTAGAGAAGATGAGAAAGCCCTAGACGAGTCGGATCTATTTCTGGGCTTACTGCTTGGGCTTTCGGGTCGGGTCTGGATTGGGTTTGGTTGTAAAATGGGCTCTGGGTTTTGTTGTAATTGAGCCTTGGTCGTAATTGGGCCTCAGGTCAGATTTGTTTTGCATTTGGGCCTGTAACAAAATTTTAATTATTTAGTATATTTATTAATAATAATAGTGATAATAGTAATAATCATAATAATAAAAATAATAAGAATATGACGAAAATGACTGTCTACAAGGATATTTGACGTTCATTATCAAAAGGGATTAATAAAAAAATGTATCAATTTAATATTTATACTAGTAAGAAGAATCTAATTAATAAGATCAAGTTTTATTACAAAGTTAAATTTTACAACTTATAGTTCCAATATATATATATATATATATATATATATATATATATATATATATATATATATATATATATATATATATATATATATATATATATATGGTTTGGAGTTAAATTAAGAATGAAAACTAATAATTTGTGTGTCAGTTTTGAAACAATAAATATTGCATTTGTATATAATGGAATTGTTTGATTCTTTTTACTAGTATCCATTTAAAGTGGGGTATTAATCTGATTCATTTTTTTTATAATAGAGGGACCTTATAGTTACTTTCACCATAAAAGAGCTTCACATAAAATTAGTTTAGAAAATCATACCATTACCAAAGTGATACTTTAAGGAAGGAAATCCAAGGAATAAATGCATTACTATCTCTCGACACTGTTTTTCACCCGGGCGGGGAAAAACAAGTACCGACTTGGGGGTTTTTCTTTGAAAATGTTTTGAAATGTGAGGAGTCGCCACCAATCATTTTAAGGTGTGATTGGAACACAATAAAAACCGGGTGATTTTAATAAAACATTTTATTTTTATCAAAATACCAAGTTTTAGGGACTGCAAAAATCCATAAATTAGGTTTGGGAGTCAGTTACGCGTGGGGAAGTTAGCACCCCCACAAGTGCCCAAGAAGTGGTACCTAGTTGATTACCCTATATTTAGAATCAAAAAATTTGAGTTTGTACTTTATCTAATTTAAAATCATTACGGATGCAAAGTTGAAAAGGATATTCGTTTATTAAGGCCAGTAGCATTAGCCCCTAGCATGAATTCGGGAGATCAACTATTGTGCCCAATAACCGAAGGTTGCCTCGGTATTTTACAAATCATGATGCGGTCTTGAAAATGATGTCGACCTATTTCGGGAATCACCAGTAGTCACCCCTTGAGCATAATTGCCGAGGTATACTATTGACTCCCTAATATGTGAACATTGCCTTAGGTTTTAAAATAAGATTCAATCAAATAAAATGTTTTTATTAAATCTAATTAAACTAAGGATGGATTAAGGCTTTTTCTAGCTTAAAGTGTCAAATTATGAAAATTAAGGAACCTAGAGGCTCAAACCTAAAAATGTAGACTCTAATATTAACCCTATTTGATTTTAATAAATTATCGAAACGAATAATTGAGATGGTCCCTTGAGCATTTAGGCAAAGGACAACTCGAATTATTCCCTAAATTAAAAGGACTAGATTAAAATATAACTAAAGTAGAGGTTCTAACATTAACTTAAATAAATTTTAATCAATATTGCAATTTGAATAATTAAATTAGAACCTCAAGCAAAAGCGAGACCAAATTAAGAATTCTCTTAATTTAAGGACTAAACCTAAAATAAAAGTAATCTATATTGGGACTAAAATATTAAAAATGTAAATCAAAACGGGTTTAATTTAAAAAGACAAATGATCTAACAAGGACTAAGTTAAAAGGAATTTAAAAATTGAAGGAGAAATTAAAAGAAACAATTAAAGAATACAAAAGGATTAAATTGAAGTGAATCAAAAATGAAAAGTTGAAATTAAAATATTAAGTAAAGGACTAAAATGTAATAAAATAAAAATAGTAGCTAAATCAGAAATAGGCAGTGACCAAAATGCATAAATTGAAGGTATCACATCCAATTCATAAATAAATAAAAATAACAGAACTAATTAGTGACTAAAATGTAATAACATAAAATTTAGTGATCAATTTCAAATAAATGGAAAAATAAAACAATGATTAAATTAAAATAAAATAAAAGTCGAGTACCAAAATCAAGAAAAAAAAAGAGTGTACTTGGTGACTAAACTGTAAAAACTCGGCAAGGTTTAAAGGACCTATATGGTGATTTGACCTTGAAATTAGTGACCAAGACATAAAAACGTATTAAATTATGATAACCTATGTGTAATGTTTTTAACCTAAAATATACTAACAATCATAGTAGGTAAAATAACAAAATTAGGCCATAAATATTGAAATAATTGCGAAAGAGTCACAACATGTGACTAAAACGCAAATATGCGGCAAGAGTAGAGGGACCTTAGGCTAATTTTCCCCTAAACTTTTGATATTTAACCTACATTTTTTTTTGTTTCAGTTCATTTTCAACCCAAAACATGAAAAGCCTTCACTTTGTTTTTTTATAAAATCGACTCAAGCTTCCCGGCGTCACTCCCTTCACAATCCAACGATCGGCCACCGCTTCGCTAGTGTGCTAGTTACTGTCGATCAGCTCTAACCGCCGCTCGCCGACATCGGAGAAGGAAGAAAGAGTCACCATTCGAAGCCTCTCAAGCCACTCCTCACCCCGAACATGGATCTGACGTTGGTTTTTTCAAAAGAGAACTAGATCGGCTTAGATCTATAAAAAGAACTTCAAATCTCCCCATTTCTGATAATCCTTCTCCCCGGCGAACCAACGAACGAAAGTACAACCTCGTCTTCTTTCTTTCCTTTCTCTACTTTTTTTGGTTTAGTTCGAACACCATTGATTTCCTAGACTAACCCCGGCTTCTTATCTCTTATGAAAGAAACCCTAAATGGCTACAAGACAGAGCCAATGAGACCCCACCAATGTTCTTACAACTCAGGTAAACCCACACTAAACCCCCTTCTCTCTTTCCTTGGTTTCATAGGGGAGAAAAAAATAAATAAAGGAGAGATGTTTTTTCTATCTTGCAAACTTGACCTAGAAATTACCTTAAAAATGAAATAAGGGGTTTATGTTACTTTGGATTCTAGAGGAAAATTGAAGGGAAATATCTCTGTTCGTATTGCTTAAAAAAAGGCAAGAGTCGTTTACATATCTTTGTGGGTGGTTTTTTATAACCCATTTTACATGCATGACATCAAAAACAAATTGCTGATTTGGTACAACTAATGATGATGAGTGGAACGTTGGGGTTGGTGGTGGTGTGTCGGAGCAACAGGTGGTAGCATACTGGAGCAACAACCCCTTTTTCTTATGGGCAGAGAATGGTAGGAGCTGAGTGGCAATTGAGGTGGCTACACTAGGACTAGGGTTAGGTTTAGGTTAGGCTCCGGGTTGGGTTTGACTTGGTTTAGGGCTTGGTTGGGTATTAATTTGGGGCCTGGTTCGAGTATTAATTTGGGGCCTAGTTTTGGTTTTGATTTGGGGCTTGGTTTAGGATTTAGTTATAAATAGAATATATATAATGAAAGGAAAAAAATGGCGATTACACTGTCGAATTCAATTAGGAATGGACATGAATCGAGTTAGATCAATATTTAGTCAATATGATATAATTGATATGATATAATTGGATAAAAATTCCACAACTTGAATATTAGATGAGATGATTTTCTAAATATTATTATAAACACTAGGTTAAAATCCTAAATTAAATCATTAATAGCTTTTTTCGGTTATTTTTATATTGAGTTAATACCTTCCCCCACATGATTAGAGTATAACGTAACCAAAATATAATAAAAGGAAAAAATCATTTTTCTGTATTTTATTTCCAAAAGTATAAAAAATAACATCCGATTTCTTCCCTAATTATGGCTTCTCTTAAATGGGTAAAACAAGTCCCATAATTAATAACTTGCCTTGGCTTTTATAACCCTAATTGGCATGTATTTATATGTCAGTTCATCGACTCAGTCTTTCGTAAAAAAAAAACCGATTAAATTCAACTTTAGAATTTCAATCTTTTTATTTCACAAATGGCTACCTTAAATCTTTTATTTTCATTTGTCATGTTCATAGTTCATTTGGCTTCATCCATGGCGGCCAAAAGGCAATGGTTTATAGGCACTCGAATGGTTGACTCAAACTGGTACGATGCACATGCTACATTTTATGGTGATATGAATGGTGGTGAAACCATGCGTAAGTACATATGATATTCGTCGTAGATTTTGAGATTCGAATTCTGAACTTTATTTCCTTGTTTACGAAGGTTTCACTAGACCGTTTTTCGATTTTTGTAGAGGGAGCTTGTGGATATGGCGATCTATTCCAGCAAGGGTACGGACTTGAGACGGCAGCCCTGAGCACAGCATTATTCAACAATGGCCTCACATGCGGAGCATGTTTCGAGATCAAGTGTTACAATAACCCTCAATGGTGTTATCCGAATGCCGGCACCATCAAGGTGACTGCCACAAATTTTTGCCCTCCGAATTACTCGAAACCGGACGGGAATTGGTGCAACCCGCCATTAAAACACTTTGATCTATCGATGGCGATGTTCACGAAATTGGCGCAATACAGAGCCGGGATCATCCCCGTCAAGTATCGACATGTCTTGTGCTCCAAGAAAGGTGGGGTTCAGTTCCAGATTAAGGGAAACCCTTGGTGGACACTGGTGGTGTTGTACAATGTTGGTGGTGCTGGTGATATCATGGATGTGAAGATCAAGGGTTCGAAGATTGGATCGTGGTTGCCTATGACACGGAACTGGGGTGTGAATTGGCAGACCGGCGAAAATTTAATAGGGCAAAGCTTGTCATTTCAGGTAACTACCAGTGACGGGAAAATGATCGAATTCGACAACGTTGCACCGGAAAATTGGCAGTTTTATCAAAATTTTGATGGGAAAATAAACTTCTAGGACAAAAATTATGTTTAAGTGATCTCTTTACAGTTTAGGGTCTTGATTGTTGCATGCTTTCTATGCAAGCTTTCTTTAAAAATATAGTCGGTAGATTAAATAATGCTCAAAGCAAAGTTTGGGATAAAGTTAATCCGTTTGGTCATTGTTAATTGATATATTTATTAAGGTAATATATGTTCGAAATCTCTCAATTAAATGAACATACACTCTGTAAATTCCGTTATTCGAATCCAAGCCTCTAATAAGAGAAACAACCCTCTTAACTATTGAGGTTGTTTGATGGGTTCATTATTAATAACATTTAAATAAGTATTTAAGTTATATTATTTAAAAAAAAGATAAACTAATTATAATCTTAAAACATATTGTTTGATCCAACAACTTGAAAGTTTAAACTACAAAATTAATAATCATTGGATTTATATAAAAATATAAGTTGATAAATCAATATTGTGTGATTGAAATTTAAAAATATATATTTTAATTAATAGAAAGCAATATATTCAAAGGTAAAATAATAATTCTTTAAAAACCAATTTTAAAAGTCAAAGCAATATAATCCTTTTAACTATTTAATGATATTTGAAAAAATAATAATACTGGTTATGTTGACCATATTTTCGAGTTTGAGTTAGCAAAAACCTATCAGTGTATTATGATAAGGAATTAAGGGTTTATTTGATAATTTATTAGAAACATAATTCATTGAAAGCTAATAGTTTCATTAATTTAATAGTTTAAGTATTAAAATTATCTTATAAAATTTCGGTATGAAAAATTTAAGTAAATAAAAACCCACAAATAATTTATTAAAAAAATATTTTGAACATTATTTTACCTTATATTCTATTTTAAAATTTATATTTATAAAATAATCTAATTACGTTTAATATTTAGTTTTAAGTAAAATAATAAAAAAATATACTAATACTAAACTTTACCACGATGGCAATCCTCTATACTCAATTATTGTTCAAATTGGATTCACAATACAAGCTGATAGAAAAGATAATGATGTATACACTTATTTTTCTTCGGTCAATTTAGTTTAAATGGATAGAATATAACGGATTTAATTCTTATTAGAATATTTTCTTTGATTTCTTTCCATATCCTATGTAATTTTCTATCTATGGAATGTATTGATAGGATTAATTTAATTTCCTTAAATAAGGGAATTGGGTAGATATGCTTTTAATCTAGGTCGTTGCTTTAAATAATCTTAGACCATTGATGTAAGGAGCCTCAACTATATATAGAGATCTTTTCCATCACTTTAAAACATAGAGAAAAATACATAAAAATAAAAAGGAAAAAGGAGAGAATCATCCAAAGCGTTGTAATTCAAAAATTAAGAGTAATAAAAGAGAACTTTTGTTTAAAGGTAATTCTCTTTCTATTTTTATTTATTATATTCTCGTTTTTTATCTCGGTCGATCTCAACCTTGTTTTATTTGAAAACCCCAAAAGAGATAAATTCGATGAAGGAGGAAAAGATCTTTCAAATGAATCTTCATAGAATTATCCTTCCATAAGGTTTTTTGATGAAAAATGATGGTATATCTTGAATGGGGAAAATATTTTTTTACCAAAAATCCGAAAGAAAGAAAATGAATCAAATTTTTTTGTATTCAATTAAATGACTCGATAAGAATCCTAATAAAATTCACATGATAGGATATAATTACAATTGTTGTCTATGCTTTTTTTTATTCATTTTTCCCTTTTACCATAATCTCATTTTAAATTAACATTTTAATTTTATTTTAAATTTATATTTTCCTTTTCAAATTTATTTCCGTTAGTTGCTTCTAAATTTGTTATTTTTCTCCATTTTTACTATGATAGAACATATCTTTTTTTTTCTTTAATTTAATTCCATATTTTTCCTTTAATTTCATTTATGTAATTTTTTTTTCTTTTATTGGCTTGAAATACAACACTTTATTTTGTTTTGATTTGATTTTTTTCTATTTCAATATGACACTTTTTTATTTTAAATTAATTTCATTCATTTACATTTTTAATCATCATGTTTATATTTTTTTCCATATTTACTGTGTGCATTCATATTACTTATGATATTGATTATTTTTTATGTATTCTTCTTTTATTGGTACCTGTGATATTTTCACTTTATGTTTGCATATTAGACTCAACCTTTTTTTATATACCCTAAGTTATTTTATTTTACAACAACAATCGTCAAAGGTAAATAATTCGGATTAAACTTTCAAATTTTTATTTAAATCAACTATCTTAATTAAGATAATCGGGTAATCGTGTTGGTACCGAAAGGGTAATTTGGGGTGCTCATTTCCCCCTAATTGTAATCGATTCCCGAATCCAACAATTCTCTGGTTAGATGCAGATTCGATAAATGAGTACATTAAGGGTATCTGGTCTGCCTAATTAAAAAATGATCGGTGGCGACTCCATCACATGATTCCAAGTTGAAAAACGAACTCGGGACCATCCGAAGGACCGTTGCTACAGCTTGACAACTCCTCTGGGGATATTTGAGAGTCATGCAAAAAATCGATTATTGGTTGTCTTCTTAAGCGAAAATTGTAAGTTGCGATTTTAATTTATTTTCGATCCTTTTTTATTTACCTTTGATTATTTTTTATTTTTTCCAAATAAATAATTGTACTGATGTGTTCTCTTTTAGTGTTTTTAGATTTTTCAAAAAAATCATTTCAACCTCTATACCCGAGCTCCAACCTTTTTAGTGACGGTAAAAGTGACGCATTCGTAGGAATTTATTCCTCACATGGGCTAGCAATTAGCATTTGGGTTTAATATACTCTATGTATTCGTCTGAATTTAGCATAGACATAGAGCATTATATCATCTCGAGTTTAACTCGGTCCATATAAACTTGTGACGGATTTAAAATCAAGGGTCTTGCAGGCCCAGGGGCACCAACGAGGAGAATTCTGGTCCCTTTTTTTAGAACCCAAACTGTGTCACTACGAGGATTAGAGCCCATCCAGAAACCACATGTAAAACCCTATGATGTTGGTTGTTTATTTCTGCTTTAATGATATTGTTCTAAGCATGTGAATTAGAGATATATGTGGTTAAGATTTTATTTCCGACGAAAAACATATGGATTTGAAATCGTGTTCGGGTAGAAAAAAACATGTGGGGTATATATCATGTGGGTATGAACTGCTACGATTTTTCTTTTGTTATTGATTTACCTTACTTGGTTCTTTTGTTTATCCTTTTGCTTTTATTTATTTGTTTATTTTTATTTGCATCATTACATAGATGTATTGATCTGTAAGTGTTCCTTAACTCTAAATAATCTTTATTAATGGGCAAAGGGGATGTAATGAGAGAGGTTAAAAACGTGAAGGTACGAAAATGGTTAGAGAAGACTCGTAAAAAAAAAAGGAAATAGTCTGTAAAACAACTATGAGGTCCAGGAGCTGCGAAGCATGTAGGGCAAATGTGAGGAAGCGTTAACACAGTTCTACAACTCTAACATAATTCTGAAATCCATGGTACAACCAAATACATGATGCATGACTTTACGAAAGAGTCCAAACATGTCAAGTCCATTTCAAACCTAACAAAGATTGTAGGAGTAGATCAAGTCAAAAAGTGACGAAATTAAAGAAATCTCTCCAAATGCGAAGAAAACATTGAACGTGGGGTCTTGAAAAAGTGCAAAACATCATGGAAGAACACAAGAAAAATGAGCAAGCTTCAGTAAGGAATAAACCCAATGAAAGTGAAGTAGTCAACCGGTAGTTCCTGGGATAGGTTCACAAAATGACTAATTACCCATATGGTTTGACTAGAGAAGCTGTTGCAGTGAGACATGGCATCCAACCAGTGACTATCGAAGTAATGGGACTTACTAGAAGTTGTCCGAAGTTTGGAGGAACTAGCCCAAGTGTACCTCAAAATATTTTTGGTCTCATTGTAGTAACACTTTTTTCTCAATGAAGGATATTCTATTAAAACATAAATGCCTCAAAATCCCTATGCATTCATCATACATTTTATATTCTTTAATATGCATTCATTATTAAAACATAAATGACTAATAAAGATCATTTTGTTCATCAAAAAAGGAAAAGGCACTGGACATATCGCATCCTCATAAAACTCAGTTCAAAGCATGGAAAATGGAAGCCAGGTTGAAAGAAATTGAAGACAAATTCACTAAGTCGTTGAAGGATCTGGAGATAGGATAAGACAAAACCATAAGAGTACTATGGACACCATCATTGAAAATCAGAGTAGCCTAGTCGATCAGATTGTAGCTAGACTTGTATGGTTAAACCTTGCTAACATCTATGAGGCATAGACATTTTAAGAAGTAGAGGAGAAAACAACTCCTAAGCTAGTTATTGCACCCATAATTTTCAAAGGTTACCGAGAAAACTCTTTCACCACGAAAACACTGACCTCTTTGAAAAATCCTAAGGATTATCCCATCTTGGACTTCGACGAGGAGTACTGAGACATTCTGATGCATTCATCATGACACACTTGTATTCTATCTTATTCTAACTTTTTCTTCTCTTTCTTTTACCTCAAAATATTGAAGTCGTTTGATGTTTAAACACATAGAAATGAAATGCTACCTTTTGAGGTTATGAGCAATGAGTAAAATTTTAATCTTTGAGTTCATTAAATATTAACTGAATGAAAGGCTCTTTTAAGAATTTTGGTTATATAACTTTGACAAGTAATAGGAATACACTCCTCCTCAAAATAGTTCCTTTTGATATTTTACTCAAGATAAAATCCCTTGATTTTATACCGAAAACAAAATCATTCAATTACTCTTCTTTAAAAGGCTCCAAATTAACACCCTAGCCTTCTCAAGAATGAAGTGTTCGATACATATCGTAAGTGAAGTACGAGACTTTGCACAAATAGGTAAGATGGGGCATTGCTAGACCATTTAAATTGTAGTTCTATTTAGGATATTCAATGATGATTCATAATCTACGCAGTTGGAGGGGTGGAATAGATGAATTTAGCTTAGGCCAGTTGCTTG